GCAAGTCTTGCGCTGGCTAAGTGAGTCCTTGTTGGTAAAACCAATGCAGAACACTCGCAGAAGGTAGCCATCCGTGGTCTTTACATCAATGTTGGCTTCAATTAAAGTTTGCCATTTCTTTACCATCCATCTGGAATTGCAGGGTTAATGTTTAGAAGAAAATTTTAAAAGAAGCAGAAGAAAATCCTCATATTGATACTCAATAATTAAAAGCAACAAGAATGTTGCATAACATGAATTCATCAATGAATAAAAATTGATGTGAAATCATATTGTAGCATTAATATTTGCAGTTTGAAACGATATAAAGGTTATGAAAACACCCCCATATAGCTGGACTGCAATCCTATATTATTACACTTATTTTTATAAATTATTATTTATAATCAGAGATGCAATTAGTGATGACAATTTACATTACATTTCTACATTTCTGAACTAATATGTTAATATAACTGCTATGTTGAACTATGTTTAAATAAAATTTGCAGACAAATAAACTGAAGACATCTCACCTGAGCTTGTCAGTGGTAAGGTCCATGCCATGGAAGTTACAGAGCACATTACGTCCCTGAACATCCTCAGCAATCAAACGGAATTTACGGAAAGACCTGAAATAATAAGATATCACTTTAAGTGGGTTCTTAAATTAAATAAATAAATTTGAGTGTTATAAAAATGTCAGTGATAAATCAAAAGGGAACAAAGTTCTCATCAAATAGTTTCATTGCGAGCTAGGTGGATCATCATGTTAATATTATTTATAAGTGATCCGATTAAATATAATTGCTTTCAGCTGAGCTAATTATTAATACATATTGAAAAATAAAAAACAATTGTTTTTAAACAAAAATGTTAATGGTTAATGTAATTATACCTTTCAGCATCAGTGTCAGCTTGTAAATCTGCAAGTGATACCTCAAATACACGACCTTTTAATCCTTCCGAAGCAATTTTGGTGCCCTGAAAAACAACTTTCTTGAGTAAAACAGGAATTTAAGATTTATAGTAGTAGAATAGATAGAGCTGGTATCAGGAGTAAATCAAAAGGGAACAAAGTTCTCATCAGGTTTGTGTCATTGCGAGCTAGGTGGATCATCATTTATTATCATTTACGTCTATGGTTACTTCTGTTAATTACATAAAATATGCAAGTAGTGTTACAAACCAGTTTGTATTTTCATGAATTTTAAGTATTCTCCAACAGCTATATTGTTGGGAATTTCAATACAAAACCCCAATAGTTTCAATGTGTAATTTACACGTGTCTGAGTTAAAAAAACTTCGAAATCTTAAATAATAGTGCTAGCGGGTTTAAAGACAATAACTTAAGTTAGCCGGAAACAAATAAATAACATGACTGACATACCTGAGTACGGTTAACAAGGGTGGTTCCCACTTGCCTCTTCGTAAACATAGACGGGGCTTTGACATCATACCAGTCTTTACGGGTGAAGGGATCAACGCTGAAAATTTAACCAAATTATTTCATATAACCTCAAAATACGTACCAAACATAACATGTGCACAAAACAATCACTTTCGTAACAGCAACAAAATCAACTCGTGGTACAACTGCTAATCATTGAAATATATTGTGGAATATATACAACAATTTGTTGTATTACAAGATAGGTACAATAATATGACACGAGATAGTTCTTTTATCCACTTATATTTGAAACATCACTTTCACTAGATATAAAAGAAGAAGTTAACTATATTGAATAATAGTTAGGTAGCAGATTTTGTATCTTATTTGGGACTTACATCTTCTTCTTAACACCCTTTTTACCGCCCTTCGAGAGGCCTTTATTTTTACCAACCGCCATGTTCAGCCTCAAACTAGTGAAAGAAGGCTAGAATTTGTTTATGGTTCGAATAACTGTCAAAACTAGAATTTTGTTAATGTATATTGTCAAATGTCAAGTTAGACATAAACAAACGTTCTGTTATTTGTATTAGTAAGGTCTATGGAATGATATAAAAATCATTTTTATAAATTTAAAGTATTTGTAGCGAAATCTAAATTTTGAGGCTACAAATCACTTCGATGAAATCATACCCTGAAACGCGCAAACAAAGTTATACCGACTGCTAAGGATAAACAACTTCTCGACCTTAGCCACTGGGGCGTTCGTGTCGGCCAGTCAGTGGCAAGACGAAGTTCAAGTTTTTCAGAAAAAGGACGGGCACCTAGGTAACATTGTACCGCGCTTTGGACCCGACTTCCTCCAGCTCTACACGCCACGATGAATGGACCGTTGTGTACTCATACAGGTCCATTCCACATAAAAACATCTTTTATGCGGATATTAACAATTTTTATAGGTTCTATGACTGGACCACGTTAATTTGATGGCTCGTGGTTTGGCCAGGAACACTGCCAGGATTGTTTAGGACGGCCACGTTTCAGAGTAGGAGCAGAGTAATGCCTCTACAATATTGCCACATAAACTAAGGCCTCCTTCTTTTGAAAAAATGATTAAAATACCCTTGTTCCAATGACAAGGAAGATTTTTTGAGTTACAAAGATAGTTGCTTCGGCAGCAGTTTTTATGCTAGCTTTGAATAATTTTGCTGTTAAAAAATCCTTACCTCCGAGTCTTATTCCCCCCTCACCTGAATGTCTTGAAGTGTCTATGTCCATAAGATATGATGTGGTGGGTTCAGTACTGAACCTGTCCATAGGTTTAACATCATTAAAGAATTATCTGGAATGGTTTTCAAAATTTATTGAGGGTCATCCAGAAATTCTTGCGGCTGGATTCTAAGTACTACCCTTTATTGAATCTATTGTTAACTGACTTCATCACAAAATAAAGCTGCTTAGCATACTATGAATAATTCTTGCGTCGAGTCGTCGTAGCTTTGACCACGGCACGCGATGCGGCTTCCACTAGTCTGTCAAGTACCAACGATAACGTAGAAGAGGAAGTTAATTGGGGATAAAGTGGCGTTAGTTAGCTAATTTAATTTACATCTCACAGATATATTAAAGTATGCTACCTACCTACGGTACGCTACTTTGTCGAAAATCTATAAATAAAAATTAAAAAAATAATATTTTGATAGAAGACAATCCTATTTCACAAAACTTCTTTCGTTTTACAGCGGATCTGGGGTTTGAGACTAATCACGTTTTCAAAGGCGAGCCCTCTAAAGTCACCTGATTAAGTGTCAGCTAATTTCATTCCCATATGAATTCGTTTAGAGCAAGTCAAGAGTGTCAAAAAGTGATTTTATCGCAAGCACCTACCCGAAATGTTCCTAAACTTTATAAAAATCACTAGTCTTCATTAACTTTGGGTTGTTCGTCTCTTTTGTCTAATGAATCTGCATTTAAGAAAAATAAGATAAATCAATATATGGCCCTATGAACTAAATATATCAATAGATTTCCCTCCTCCATGCATAAGTTCTCTTAAATTGCATCCATCTTTTAGTCTGAAAGAGTTATTGTTTCAATTTATAATTAAAATATAAAAAGAAAACATTCAGCGTGATAAAATAATCTTTTACCAAAAAACAGTAATTAGAGCTCGATTATTTAAATGAATATATTTTTTCTGAATTTTTACTGCAGTGACAAAAAGATTAGGATACTAATTTATCTTAATCTTCTTTTCACTGCGGTAAACTTTGAATATAACTATTAATAATTTAGAAAGTATTATTAATTTTAATATATTTTTTTAGATAGATTGATTGGAATATGACACATTTTAAATGTGAGTTAGGTACTGTGTTTATTTTCTTTACAACAGTAACCCCAAAATATTTTTAACTCTTTGGATATATTTAATATTATTTTATCTGGAGACGAGCTGACTCTTTCTAGTGCGTTTTCCAATTACAGCACTAGAGCGCATTTTGCGGCATAATGCTCAACGTTGAGTGTTCCAACTACAGCAACGCTTCGCACAATTGAGCACTCTCAAAACGAATGCTCTCGCAAACAATACCAACACAGTGACAGAAAATTGACCAGTATTTTTCTTTAGGTAAGTTGGCATTTATCGAAATTTTCGTTAGTAAATATTATTTATTGTTGAAAAATTTGTAAGGCTTTCGTTTCGTCGTAGATTTTGAAAATAATTAAAGTTATTTCAAACTGCTAAAAAAATAAATATTAGTATGGATGAAGGTATAAATAGTTACTTTTTTTATATTCCACATTTAAAATATGAATACAATTTTATTTTAAAATTCGGATCTGTAAACAAATTTACTTTACAGGATTATACTTTAGAAAAAATTGCAATGGTTTTGAAAAAGTATATATTTTTTTAGAAATCATTAAAAAATATTACTCAAAACGTAAATGATGTAAACTTCTTACATGAAACTAAATATTTTACTGTTAATTTAGCTTGTTAAAACCTTATATTCTTTAAAGGTTTTCTCTTATTTCAGTAAAAAAAATTTAATGAAATAATTTGATTATTAAATTAAGCGTAAAAAGTTTTCAACCAATTATTATTGTTTACCACATTATTTATACATTAATGAGGTTGCTAACTCTATTCAGACCATTTTTTTGTCAACACTGACTTAGCGCACTCTGCTGATGCATTTGAAAACTAATTCACGTTCCAATTAAGCTTCAGCATTATGCGGCATTGTGCGGCACTGAGTCGAAAAATGCTCTGTAATTGGAAAACGCACCTAGTCTCTTGCATTCCTCTAAAATGTTTAGTCGTATAATCACGTCGGAATTTAAATTTTTTATGACATTCCGCAGACGTCAGATTTGTTTGAAGGTGAAATAATATACTGTCGTAGTCTGTTGTTACTTGTTTAAATTGAATAATGAAGTTATTCTGAGCGGTCGCGCGACCAATTTATCGCTTCGGATTTCGTTCGTCACAAAATAAATTAAGTGCCGGCCCGAATCGTGAAGTATCTGTTACAATCTAGTGATTCAATGAGGCTCTTATTCTAGCTCTGCACATTTAAACTTATAATTCTGTGGAAAGTGATATTAAATTATACCTAAAATGGGTGCACACGTATCGAGAAATGATTTTGAATGGGTCCATACTGAGGAGCCGCACGCCAGTCGACGAAAGATTATTTTGGGTAATAAATTACGTCATTTTTATAAATAATTAAACCATTAATTAGTTATGTTTTGGCAGTTTTAAACTATAGCTTGTTAGCGTGATATTCAAATGATCACGAGATGTTAAATGATAGGTCATAAGTGCCGTATTACTTCTTGGTACATTCCTCGTAATATTTATTTGAAGCGAAATATTGAAGACTGTATATCTCCATTTACCTACTAATTATCAAAAATTAACTACTAAAGTCACTAAGACAAGTGATAACTTTATTTAATAAAGAATCAGCCTGTTCCAGTCTTATTATTGTGCATCAGTTGTTCATTTCTATGAATTTGAATATATTTTTTTTATATTTATGCAGGACTACCTTTTATTTGTATTCTGTTAAATAGTAACATTCTTGTTACGACACAACTTTACATTTATTTTTCTTTAGATGTTTTACAGTCTAAATATATTTCACAGGCAGTACAATAGTATAAAAGCTTCCACTGAATATCTAATTTGTTCATCTAAAAAAGTATATCAAATACTTTATATTTTATTACTAATAAAAACAAATATAATATGATTAACAATTATTAAATTGTTATATGCCCTGTCTCACTCAGGATTTATGGGACTTTCTGCTTTCTTTTCTTTTCTACAAACATTTATAAAATCAAGACATATTTTTGAAGCATTGTTCAAAGTAAAAGAAAATTTGATAATTTAAATGGGAATTGAAATATTAGTACCTAAATCTGAATTGGTAGTTACAGCTAAAAATATGTTTAAAGATCACATTTTAAGGTCCAATTTAAAATATATATTTTGATTTAATATATATATACATATATATATAAAATCACAGTGACTACAAACAATCAAATTATTATTTAGTATGAATTGTGATTTCTAATTCATTGTAATACAACTTCCTAATGCATTAATGTGAATGATTATGTAAAGTTCAAGATAATTAAAGCAATTTTATAGGAAGGAGCTTCTCAATTATAAATATTGCAATAATTTATACCTTTTAAATTTATTTGGTTTTGGGACTATTATTATGAACATGGTTTTGTGTAGATGTATTTGATAACTAATTTATATTATTCTTATTAAGAATTATACATATCTGTATTAATTTTTTAAACATTATCTTTACTGGCATTCAGTGGTAAAGAAATAACATTATTTAATTAAAAAATCTGAAGTAATCAATTGACTTTCAAATATTCCTATCAATTTCTTATGCTAGTATGAATCTTATTTCATTATATATGTAGGTCTGGAAACGAGAATAAAGCATATGATTTTGAACAATGTAAAGAAAATTAGTTTATTCTTCGCTATTCACAATTTATGGCTAATAAGAAGCTGTGAACATGACTTTCTTACTATCATAGTTAAATCCTAAACAAACAGATAAGCGACATTGTTGATTAAGATTCGTGGCTTATCAAGTTAATTAGTAGCTCATAACAGTACCTGTGGTTGCTTTGTTTACATTTCAGGATTTTCCATAAATCAAACAGTTTAATGTGTTATTATATCTAGTATTTAGGGTATTACCCTATCTTTGTGTTGTCCCTTAAAGCAATAAATAAGCTCATTTCACATGTCTATTATTTTTTAGGTCTTTTACTAACCTAGATTATAAAATGATAGATAGATTCAAATTTTATCTATTTACGTCTACTTAACAGTAAAGTTAGAAGTTGTAAGCCTGACATTATAGCCTGAAATTTGTGCCATAATATCCTTCCATAACATAAGGCATTCTTAAACACTTGTGCGATGTTAATAAACTGTTTTTAGACATTTATAGTGTCTGGTTAAGGCACGTTTTGTAATATTTTATATTCAAAGTCAGAAAAACTGGACTCAATCACAGAATGTTACGCTTTCACTTAATTCCATAATAACGTTATTGAAGGTACTTAGGATATAGTTTTACGTAAGATTTAGGACACTGGGTTTATTTCAAAGAATGGATAAATAAAAAAATTATAGCCAACCTATTATGCTATATGTATTTTTACAAAAATCATATAAATATTATTATATTGTTTCCAGCAGTATATGTATGTTGTTTTCTTCATACATTTAAAATAGTTCACAATTCCCACATTAACGTCTTGTTGCCGAAGGTAGTGTAATTATTATTAATTAGTCGTTTCGGACTTCAGTACTAATAGTTATTAGTGTAGCTATGAGTAAGCGCCAGGCATAACGTAGTTTTAGCCATGTTAGTGTACGTATGCCTTGCCCATATAAAGTGACTCTTGGGCGTGAATATAGAACTTTTCTTAAATGCATTTTATGATTTGAATATGACTAGAAATTCCTTAAGCATTTCTTTCTAGAACCCAGTAACTGAAATAGGGACTCCGAAGTTTGCGCTACGGATGTGGAATGCTTAATCGAAATTGGGTTTCATTTCTTTGATGTCGTCATACCTAATTATTGGAATCGGCACTTTGTTAGAGAGTGCCACTTTGTTCGCAGTCTGTATTAGTTTTACACAGTAGTACTGAAGGAAACTTTGAAGTAATTTTTGTCTAAATGAATGTACGGAAATTTGAAACCATAAAACAAATGTGTTAGCTATGACCGCTGATTACCTAATAAAAACAATGAGTTTGTAAGCCGTTTTCAAAGCCATAATAAAATTTGAAAATAAAATTAGTTCAATGTAAGAAATATAACAAAAAAATTGAAATAGAAAAATGTAGAGAAAAACTATCACTTATACATTATGGGACCGTTTTTATATATACATATTTATTTAATTAATTACAATTAATCTTACAGCTAACATACATAATATTATAAAACAAACACTTAGACAGTACAGAAAGCCAAAACAGATTACATATAAACAATATTATATACGAAAAATAAAACAAATAAGCACATCAATAGACAAAACCATATAAAGAAAACTGAAGTTTAACATTATAACAACAAATAATACTAAATATTTCATATCACTACCTAAACAAAATTAGAGTCTTCCCGTCTCTTCAAATATTTTCTCACATCTTCTTTGGTGAGGTGAGTTAGGTGACATTGGTGAATTATGCCAAATATATATATATTTGATGTTTTTGTACATTATGAGAAATTTTCACTACCTATGTTTAGAGATATCTACTACAATATTATATGTATATAGACTATAGTTGATGATTTCACTAAGAAAATAGCGTTTCAAAGTGTCATAAACTATAATATTGCAAAATACAGAATGTTCGTATATTATATGCCATTTTGTATGATAACAATATCGTATGAATAACTGTGAAGCTATTGTTTGCAGAGACGTCATTGAAGGTCATCTGAATTATGACTAAAGTCCCACAGAAAATTTCTAAAAATTTGTTTCGTATTGCTTTTATGTTGTAATCGTTATGAATATTATTATTTTTAGATAATTCAGCCTATTAATTGTTACTTACTCCGCTTTTATATTTCAAATCACGAGCTTCAATTGTCGAATATTTTGTAGATTCTCTTCTTAAGTTTAAGATTAAGTTTATTAGATATTTCTATTTATAGAGACACGCTTTTGCCTAGCAGATAACATGTATGATGTCTCATCAATTCTTTATACATTTTATCCTGAGTGCAAGATTAGATTAGTAGTTGCTAAGCTAAAACAGTTAAGGATAAAAAGGCAAGGTGCATCCCGTTGATGATCCAAGATCGCAGGCGAAAATGGGAAAATACGTTGTTACGTAATGAACAGGTGTAGATTCTGGATTGGGTGGGGTCTCCGCCTTCCTTGAACTTACAAGGAAAATAATAATAATATTTTTTTTCTCTCACAAAAACTTACATAGTGCACAAAATAAAGCAATAGTTATTAATAATAAGGAAATGGTTATTTGTGTGAGACTTATGCCTGTAAAAGGTAAGAGTATATATAGGTCGGTTATCGAAAGCTGGCGGGTTCACAGTACTCACACTAATGCAATTTCACATACAGTATGTTTCAAAATATGATTTTTTTGCCATGCTATACATTTTAGTCCACTCATACACGACGGACAGTCTATTCATGATGTATTTATGATTGTATTTCAGTTTGACATCACGTCTCGCGCTTATTCACAGACACTACACAAGCACAAAGTGTAAATGTGTTGAAGCCGCCAGCTTTAGTTAACATACCTATACCTGTGTTACATGTGTGACAGAACACACTTTGCTATTTCGCAGTTCAACACATCATTTATAATACATTATCTACAGTATATGTTACAAGCTATATATTCTAAAATACTTGACAATTATGGTTTTTAAATGTTACAAATTGCTAAAATATTACACTTCCAATTTTAGACTTTGCTAGTAATTTATTGCTTAACAATGCGAATTAGGTACCAGATAGGCGCTTAGCAATGTTTTTTTTTTTAATTGATCAGCCCATTACCGAACATGTGAAGCCCTGTATAAGTAGTGTTTATTCTGTTATATTCGCGAAGAATTAGAATGAGAGGTGCCTGAACACCTAGGTTGGTTTTTGCAGACGAAATTTGGAATGCTATATATAAACTTGTTATACATTATAAAATGCTATACTTATATATATATATATATATATATATATATATATAAATCTGTAGGGCAAATGTTATCGCTGTTGTGTAAATTACTAGTTTATATTTATTAACATTTCCATGTAGATACTATTAGCGTGTTGGAAAAAGGCTCGGATAATGTTAAACGTACATTAGAAATTCTGTTTTCCTCAATATATTTCGAAGTACCTACTGTTGTTATCGGTAATAAATGTTATCGTTTTTAGTCGATACAAAATTGTTATTGCTTGCACCAGGCGATAAGAAATACGTTAATACAAATCGATCTTAGATATATATTAAGAATTTTCTATTCCAACTTATTTTATTAAGATCAGCGCCGGTACTCTGTAACTTAAATTTCCGATCCCGACGTTTTGCATGCAAGGTCGATGTAGTTCTCTTAATAGCGTTGATGTCACAACCTTGGGATCGTTCTTAACAAATATTCATTATTTAGATTAGGAGCGCTATTGGAACTTGCAGAGTAAGGGCCCTGATAGTCAAATAAGCCACCGTCTCTCAATTTAGTATATAACTTTCATAGTATCTACCTAACCTTATGTAAAACACCGAATGATTCCCATACATTACTGATTAGTAATTTTTGGTACGTATGAATTATAGGTCTATTCCAAATTCTGTAGTATCCTGTGTTCAGTAGTGTCGTGTGTAGACTATATGCTGTTGCTGTATTCTTGTGGCATGTCTTGCGCAATCCCAACTCATTTCTGTATAAAATATTTAATTGTATTTGTTGGAGACAGTAGCCTTGTAATAACAATTATCTAATGATCCAGACATTCGGACTCAATAGCTCTTCACAATTATACAGACATTGACCACTCAAGATAAGGATGTCTTTTATATGAGTGACCATCAAACGTTTAAAAAATCACAATTTTTAATTATTATTTTACGCACATTGATACTAAGCCTGGGTTGTTGCCTGGTGGATTCACTGGAGCACATATAGCTATGTGTTAGACACATACAAATGTTTTAACAAGATATATAAACAAATAAGGAGGCTATTTATACAATATCAGTCAGTAATATATCACTAACACTTACTTAACTTTAGCTGTTCAATTATTATTTTACAAACCTCGGGATATTTTTGCGTTTTACTGCAAAGTAACTAAGACTGATTTAGTTTTTTAATGATGTGGGTAATGCATGCTGCTGATGGGGGCTCAACTTTTTGTTATATTGTTCGGATCAATACGACAAAATTTTCTTAATTAATTAGGTTGTACGCTGCTGCGTTTTTAGCTACAGGGGTGTAAATCTGTAAAAAATCAATACTAAATCATTTGCTTGTGTATCTGGGGCTAATGGTCAATACCATTTAGAAAGCGAAGAAAATCTATAAGCCAGACATCCAGGTCTCTGCATTAGCACAGAAGGCAGATGTAAAAATGTAAAAAAAAGCTCTATTAAATCATATTTTGCTTGTAGCTAGCTGTAATTGGGTCCATTCGATTTTTAGGACCCCTTAAATATAAAAAAAAATTGCAGTCATTTTAGTTATTGACTTTAACCATTACGTCCGCCAATCTGAGGTAAAAATGATATAGCACACTTTTTTTGTCGATATTTTGAAAGCGCTCTTAATAGAAAACGCAGCGCTACGATGGTGGCACTATTTTTCTGCTGTCATTCGCAGGGTTTTTAAACGAACACTGCAGGTTTGCTAAGCGTGCATTTCATATATATTTTTTTTAATTATAAAAAAAACATTCTAAGTTCATAACTTGAAAAGTCCTGCCTTTTCCGTTTTGACAAGGTTTCTGAACATCGATATAGTTTATCTGTTTGTTTTTTTTTAACATTTTTATGGGGGTGTCAATTGACAACTCAGCGCTACCATGGTGGCCGACGTGGTCCTTAATATTCCTTATCGTATAATTATGGCAATTAAAAAAGTCTGCCACACTTGTGTCCACTGTTAGCAAATCATATAGATATTTTGCTCGCCTTATAGGCGTTTTTTGGCAGCTCTTCTTCTAGAACAGATTCTACGGCCTTAATTTGGGTACTGGTAGATAAATGTTATATGGAAGCACACTTATACATAAATGTATTTTGACTTTGTGACGCAATTGAATATCATTGATGGCTATCAACCGATATGTTTATCAGATGCCTACGCACGTGTAACTAGATCTTATGTTAAGTCTACTCTATTGTTCGATAAAAGAAATCAAAACGTTTGTATATAAAACCCCATATTGTGTTGCTAAGAATGATGATCAATTTAAGGCGTATTTTCCTGCTTAAGGAAAGCAAAAATAAAAACTGTATATATGTATCCTTATTTCTGTCACATGCTCAGCCTTACAAAAGAGATGAAACATTAGACATAAAAAAATCTTTATTTAATATGTTTCAAATGTTATTAATGTTCTTTGGAAATCATGATCGACACCATATTGATAGTTTGGAAAGTTTCCGCGCTATGTGCAGGCTAGGCAAGTAATTAAACATCATAGATCTAAGTTATTTCATATTTGCCTAGCTGTTTGATCGAATGTCTGAGTATCATTCAGGCCGCTTGTTAAACGGCGCTTTTTTGTAAAGTGACTAGGCTGTTGATTGAACGGCTAAATAAGCTACTTTGCTGTGACATATATAAGACAAAAAAACTCCATATTGTTTGTTTAATTTACTGATTTTTAAAACCATAAATACCAATATTACATTTTAAATGTAATATAAAAGGCCTTCATGTATTATTAAAAAACCCTTACTCATTACATCGAAACACAAATAAATTAATCTATTGGTCTAAATGTGAGGTGTACTTTAAAATATCAAATGACAAAAAGAAGGTTCTTCGATAGGTTGCTGGTGAAATTTACGATACATTGCTTGTTTATTTGTAACTATAACAAAAATTATAAAGCAATCGATGAAATGTATAAGTTAGAATATTGGTTTATCTCTATTTTGCAGTCGCTAAGAGTAACATACAAATATATTTTTTGCTTTTAGATTCATTCGTGTTACAATGAACCTAAAAAAAATACTAGTGGCGTGACGTGTAAAAACTGGGCCTCAGAGTTTTGTATTTACTTCGTGATCATTTGGTTTTCTAATAGCCAAGTAGGTGGTCAGCCTGCTGTGCCTGACACACACGAAGTTTTTGGCTCACGATGTTTTTCTTACTGTAAGAGCGAGTGTGAAATGCGCACATAGACAGAAAGTCCATTAAAGAAAAGAAAGAAAGCTGTCTCTTTAATAACACAGTAATGTTATTAAGATAGAGTATGGCTTTGTAGTAGTCTATAGACAATTATAGATTTTGTTTTTTAGGTCATATTTGTATTTCCATGCGCCCGAAGCCGTGTATACATATAAAGTTTGGTTTTGTCCTTTTCAGAAAAGTATCCAGAAATCAAGAAACTCTACGGCTATGACCCGAATTTTAAATGGGTGGTCACCGGGATGGTGTTCGCTCAGTTCGTAATGCTGCCCCTGGTGCCGTATATGAGCTGGCCCATGGTAATTATCGTCGCGTACTGCTTTGGAGGTGTTATTAATCATTCCCTTATGTTGGGTAAGTTGTATTGTCTATTGTCATTCTGAAGTTTGACAGTGGTACTGACTTTAAAAAAATCTAAGGAGGAGGTTATCAATCTTTTGTTGACCAATAAGACCATAATAATGGGTTTGTGGAACTCCGGTTCTGCCTATCGGAGAGCTGGTTTGCAATACCTACTAAAAGCACTTAAGGGAAACGAAATACTCTCTATGGGAAACCAGCTCCTTTATTATGTAACCGAGAGCTTTGTGCGTTATAATAGCCACAAAGGAAGTGATGATGCGGAGTTTATATATTTAAAATTAGAGATTGTACCTCAAGTATGAGAAGAGCATTTTATCAATGGAAAAAAATGTTTTCATTCACTTTACATTATCAATACATTATAGCCATTTGAATAAATACGTGATATGTATCACGCGATAGCTTATCAAACGAACCGATTACTTAAATCGCAGGAAATCCGCGAATTCTCCGAAAACTGGCTCAACAAAAACGACTGTATTGATACCAAAAAAATTTCCTCAAAAAGATTACAAAAAGCATTTACCAGAATATACAGTTCTCATGTATTTCGTACTCACTGTCGTATTGTCTCGTTTTTGTGTGCACAACGATAATAGTTACTATACAAGTAATGGTATTAAATATTATAAATCTATATAACTATGAATCGCAAAATGTGTTGCTAAGCGCATAGGTCGAAGATGGCTTCGATTCGACCAATTCGATTTAGTTTTTTCCTTGAACCTCTGAGGATGGTTTTTATGGAGGGATATATTGGAAAACGTCTAAGTAAATTAAAAACATAAACATGATAAATATGTCGAATAACGGCTCCACGTTAAAACAGCTCCAAATTTTTTCTATATATTTTCATCACTCGGAAATTGTGTAAAAGAAATTCTAACCTAACCTAATGTAATTCACTGGGACCCACTGAGACAATATCATTTACATAATATTATGTTTCAATTTTGTTTAAGAGGTCCAAAGCCATGCGCCTCCTTAACAGATTCGACAAATTTACCAAAATCATATTAAGGCGAAACGAGTTCGTGGCGAAAGAAATTTCACTATCTTATTGGTATAGAATATTTTTGAGCTCCAAGCTCCGATTATTAAATTCCGGATTTTAATTAATTTTTTAAGAATTTCCGCTAGTTTTTATAGTCAATAGACGTGGGGAACAATAACATGAATAAATAATTACTAGACATTTTAATAGATTTTTTTAATTAAAAACATTTAATGGAAAATCTTAGTTATGAGTTTATAATGTTTGAATCACGTACACGGAATGTTTCATAGCCGTGTAAATCTTATACGAAATAAAAATGCTTTTTATCACAATGTCCTTGTCATGACCGGCTTACGTATTTAAAACTGGTCCTACATTAATCTGAATTATTATCTAACACGTGATATTTTATATCTAATCTTGAATTACAAAATTTCTTAATAGAGAAGTGCTTTTATAATTTAGCGATAAATATCTAAATAATTTACTTTTACAAGACAAATAGAATACCAATAACCGCGTCTCTTAATCAATTTTTTTTAAACAAAACGAAGACGCATATTGTTTAATTGTATTGCGTGTCTCTGATTGGACAAAAAATGCTGTTGACCTACCACAACCAAGCCAAATCGTTTCGTCTTTTATTTTAACATATTCTCTAGAGTCCAATGTTGTAGAGACCAGTGTATCCCAACTTTTTGGTGGTATGCCCCACCTTCGTCTTCCTAAGTTCGTATGCTGCTGCCCTATTTTATACATAATTATTAATATAACATTTTTATTGTTTACTTAATAAATGATAGGTTTTAGAAAAAAATGACTAGGAAATAACGTGTTAACGTAACACAACACAGTAAGGAAATTTTCAAAAGATGTAATGAAAAACTGAAATTCAAATTCCAAATTAATCCCTTAATCAAATTACCGCCCTGTGGGGCGTGGGCCCTACGTCGGGAAACACTGGCTAGACTAATCACACTCTAGTTAATAATTTATTCCGTTGTTCTAACGCCCTCCGCTATTTTATTGTTAATAATTAACTAATTTGTAGACCAAGTTACAAATCAAGTACTTTTTACATTAATGTTATATGAAGTGTTCAGTTGAATTCCACAAAGTACTAAACGTGTGTTTAAGCACAATTCATTTCTTTAGTACTATTATTTTTCTAATGATTAGATAATTCGTACCTTCGGCTACACTATCGCAATATATATATAAATATATTGAATATTCTGCGTGAAATAAAATAATAATGAGAAATTATATCAAATTTTCTAATTTCAGCAATCCATGAAATTGCACACAGCCTAGCCTTCGGTCACAATAGGCCACTACACAACAAATTGTTTGGCTTCTTCGCGAACCTACCGATTGGAATACCAATATCTATCAGTTTTAAGAAATATCACTTGGAGCATCATAGGGTAAGTGTAACAATGTTTTTTTATGCACAACATAACATATACGAAGCCATATATTATGTTTCTATATTTCACACTTAAATTTAAACCTAAGCCGTCTCTTAAACTCGAGGATAGATAGGGTTTTTATAAGTAATAGGAGGCAAACGCGCAGGAGGCTCATCTGAAGTTAAGTAATACCGCATCGCCGTTGCACCGTGCAACCCCGTGTGTAATTCTGGGCACGCAGTCGCTTCAGCGGGGGAACAGGGGTTCATGCGTCTAAAAGAAGGGATGTTGACACATCCTTGCAAGCATTGCACCCGGCCTCCCCCAGCTTTATAAAACAGGGCGACTTGGCCGATGTGAATGGCCCTTGCTGTGCCAAGGTCCATTCCACATCATTCGTGGCCGTAGAGGACCGTGAGTTTAACGGCTATTCGCGTGGCTGGATGCGGACAAGGCTTCTCTGTTACCGTGTCCTGCCTCGGGCATAGCCCTTCACCATCAGGCAACCGTGCCGCGGGAGGGTATGCGTAACGCATTTCCCCACAACAACAAAAAATACGCCGCCCATGGACATTACATTGCCAGAAGACTCACAAGTACGTTACTGTTTGTTCTGCGCCTTCATATTTTTTTGAGGGGATAGGGAGTATACTCTTTTTAGAAGTTTAAACCTAGACTGCTCCATTTGTCTCTATCACTTTTCTAATATCAAGGTTACAGTCTTCTAATATACAATTTCAGTATCAAGGCGACGAGAAGATCGATGTTGACCTACCGACTTTGGTAGAAGCGAAGTTATTTTGCACTACTGGTGGTAAATTGGTATGGCTCTTCCTGCAACCGTTCTTCTATTCCCTAAGGCCGTTGGTGGTGAGACCCAAACCACCATCGCCAATGGAAGTAATCAACCTGATCTTACAAATCATGTTTGATATGCTCGTGGTGAAGTTTTTCGGTAAGTTTGAAATTTTGGTCACTAACTAATAAATTAATTCCTAACTATACTAAGGTCTTATCGGTTCGAAATTAATTGCTAAAATGGCATCTATGCCAATTAAAAATGATTGAGAGAGCCGCGGCTACTCTCGGGTAGCGAGAAGACTCTCGGTAAACGAGCGGTAAGGGTCGGCATATAGAGACGCTGTTTTTTAACTAAAAGTATTTTTGGCGGTGTGTAACGTGATTGACTGAAAATTTATATTAATAGCATGCAGCTGGTTCTGAAAAGTCATGTAGGTATCCTTTTTTTGTACCTGTAAAGTTTTGATTTAATAGCTATATTTTTTGTGTATTTTTGCACTTTTTGCTTACATTATCTCATTTAATACATTTTTTTCACAGTGGTTGCCTGGAAGAGATCGCTCGAAAGCGATAAGGCCGCCAGCCTGCCCTCCTTTTCATTTAATTATGTTCAATTTTTATTATGTTAATGCAACGAAGTGTTAGTAAATTAATAAATAAAAATGCTATTCTGTGCTAGGTTATAAGATTTTAATAAGAGTCTTTGATACCTAGAGCAGTTCTAGCTGATTATTGATTATTTCTATGTACGCAATTGACACTCATACGGTGAAAAAACGAGGAAACCTGTAAGTCTCAAAGATCGACGTGTTTGAGGCGTAACACTTTATGCCGATGTCCGTTACACCAAAATGACTGATTAATCACTTTTTCAGGAGGCAAAGCGTTGGGATATCTCCTTATTGGATCTCTTCTAGCTATGGGCATACACCCTGTTGCTGGTGAGTTATTTATCTAAGTAAATTTCAAAACGAGTATTGTATTTATAAAATATTATGTTAAAAATAAATATTTTTGTATGGGAAACTAGAGCGCTCAGTATTTCGAACCTAACGGAAGCACCTGAACCTGAACGTGTACGTGTTCGTGTAAACTATAAAATTGTTTGTTTGTTATCATTGTGTTCAAGGTGTAAATGACAGTACAAATACTTGATAAAAGTCTCGTATAGTTAAGCTTAAGTTCTTATATACGTATATGGAACAGTTTTATGAACTAGGCTGTACCTCACGGTATATCCGAGAATGCAATACATAACAATTAGAGAGAGATTCGCGCGTTCAAAACACTAGCTTTAATATAAGATATATTTAAAATATTTTCTTAAACCTTTCAGGCCATTTTATATCGGAGCATTATATGTTCAAAAAAGGCTTTGAGACATATTCCTACTATGGTCCACTTAACTGGATCACCTTTAATGTGGGATACCACAATGAGCATCATGACTTCCCAGCGGTACCGGGGAGTAGGCTGCCTGAGGTTAGTTTTAAAAAAATATTTCTATTGTAATATGTTTTATTTATAACATAATGAAGTTTTTAATGGTGTGGTGAAAACATAAACTAGACATAGTGGCTTTGTTTCTTTATTGTTGAATGTTATTAACATTGTTATATTTCTTTTAATTCTATCATGTGAATTATTTTTGAAGATTATAACTTTGATTCATTTATTTAATTATACATATTATAAAATATATTTTAGTGCTAGCTTTCAACCTAAAAGCTAATTATATTTTTCAATTAAAAATAAAATATAGCATTCTTTTTAAATCTTTAATAATAATAGAACCACTGTGGTTTAAGCTACATTTATGTGGATAACACTCTATGTTTGATTTCCGGCATCCAATAGTTGAGTGGGCATGTAGTTAGTTATCAACAAATTTTCGCATAAAAGGCGCATGAATCATGCGTCATTTCCTTAGTAAATAGATTAGGATGCATCAAAAACTCGTGTTATAGGAACAAACAAGTGTCAACTGACATCAACAGAAAGAAAGAAAGAAAGAAAAAACTTTATTATGCACAATATACAAGATATTTAGATAAAGTAAAGTGCACTGGCCCCCACACTAGGATAACCTGTGTTGTGGGCAGCCAGTCTCTTCCTTTTGACACGTAAACAGTATTTTAAAAATTATATTAATTATTTCTACACATTTATATTAAAACTATTTTTGCACAATAAGAATATTTTCAGTATCAGAATAGGACAGGTTAACAAGATATCGTTTGAGATGTTTAGTAAATGTATGTAATGTGATTTTTGAAATGTTCGTGATAATTTTGTTTTTAATGAAGTGGTTAAAGACGAAAGGGCCTCGGAAGGAGAAAAAGCGTTGGGCGAAGAAAGTGCGAGTTTTGGGTTGCTTATATATGGGTTTGCGTTTTGTTTGATGCGGTGCGGTGGGTGTTTGTTTCCAAAAAGTCTGCATATTGCTATTAGATATAGTTGTCACACAGTTAAAAGTTTTGTTTCATTGTGCAATTTTGAAGTTGAGTAGCGGAAAGGTTTCTTATATGAAATCTTAATAATGGCACGTTGGGTGCGCTCAATTTTCAGCATTGAAGACAATGCCGCTCCACCCCAAACCGATATGCAGTAAGATAATATCGACTGGCATAATGCAGTATACACTATCCTGATTGTATGTGGATCAGCAGGCTTTCTAAGGCGTTTGAAAACATTTATAAGTTTGCGAACTCGAGAACATAGGTAGTTAATTTGAGGGCCCCAACAAAGCCTTGAGTCAATAATTAATCCCAACAATAAAGTTATAGAGAAAAAATCTTTATATAGAAAGAAATGAGGTAGTCTGTGGAGCAGAACCGACGTGGCAGATATGCGTACTAATATAATTCTTATTTCCAAATAATAATGACGCTTCTCTTTCCGCACAGACTACACAGAAATAAAAATCTATTACAGCATTTATCTTGTAAATTTAAAATAGATATATTTTGCCTGCTTCAGATATTCGCGCGATTCTGAACAAAAATTATATTTTGGTTGAAAGTATTTATAAAAATTTCAGGTGAAACGCATAGCACCAGAGTTTTACGACAATTTACCACATCATGACAGCTGGTCGAGCGTATTGTGGGACTTCGTGACCGATCCCGATATCGGGCCTTACGCTAGGATCAAACGCAAGAACCAGGGCCTAGACAGTTAGGTTTGAAAAAGATAGTCAAATAGTCGGTCGAAATAGGTCTGATTCAAAGATTTGTTTGTATTTTAAAGGAATTTGTTATGTCACGAAATTTTATATCATCCACCAAGATGATCTTTTATATATAGTTTTAATCAGTGATTTATTTTGAGTACTGTGTAATAATGTTCTTATTTTTATTTAAGGTGAGGAAATTATCAAATTTTAATAAAAAAATTATTGGCGTATGTAGCTTTTCCAATACTCAATTTGGATATATGTATCTCAAAACCTTTTTTTGTGTAAAAAAATACAATCCATAGTTATTTTACAAGAGTGTAGTTAAATGTTTATCATAAATGAATTTTTTATTAATTTTTTACAAGTATTTTTAATATCATACGGGTATGTTTGTTAAACTCATATTAAATATTTTTAAATGATATTACCGAAGATATTAAAAATAAAAAAAATATTTAAATATAACAATTGTTAACAGTCATTTAAAGGAATTAGTTCGTACAGTTTACGATACTGCATTTATAAAATATGAGCTTAATTGTAATCGAATTTCATATTAAATAATCTTAGAAATAAGTTATATAAAGCTTAGGCAATTCAGAATGTTTAGTATTAATTGGCATGAAATTCGGTCTATGTTTGAATTGCCTAAGTTTCGTCAATTGCTTTCCTATGTGTAGTTTTTGACTTTTAATTTTGATCCTATGAAGTGACCTTCTGCATTCTGTATACTATTGTTTATTACACATCCAATGCGATCTTTACTATAATTATTAAGTCGTATCGGATGCCAAGGGCGAGTTTCATATTTAAATCTCTAGTTCCACTCATGTATAGTGGCCCTAATTTGCTTGTCTTGAACAAGTATAGAATAATGTACAAAGATCTATGTTTCATATTGTATATTTCTGTAAGTTGTTGTAATAAAATGTATTAAATATGCTGTGTTTTAATAAACTGCACAAGAAGGCGATCTTGTTTACTTTAATTATAGTTTTAGTTCAAAAATATTTCTTCTTGGGTGTTATCTTTCTTGTACCACTAATTTTTAGCGATAAGTACAGAACCATAGAAATAATTGATAAGAATTGTGTGCATAACCAAGGTGATCTCAATGAAGTCCCAGCAAAAAATAGAATTATTATTAAATGTTGTTGGCTGATAACCTATTTGAAAGGAAATCGAAAGGTCAGGTTCAGGGATAACAATGAAGGTGACAACAGGCGGTGTCTACATATAGGCATCTTGTATATATACACAAAAAAGGGAATAACTTCAGCACTAATAAGGGAGCGTTCAACTTAACGAATTTTGAGAGGGGGGTCCTTTTGTCAACGTTACGATACGGGGCGGGGATTGAATTTAACGCGTTATTGTTAATATTATTTTCGACTTTCCAGTACTTTACACCATATAATGGTTACTTTTAGGTATAAAGAGTCACTAGGTGGTCACGAAACGTTTTTCTGTACCCAAGTATAGTAAAACGTTTCGTGATCACCTAGTTAGACCACGGCGCGTTACATGTGGGGGGGGGTCTCTATCGGTTCTCAAAGTCTGTCATAAAGAATGCATGTATGAGTAAATATGTCAACTTAAATGGAAACCATATTATAGAATATTGATATCACTGCATAATTACAAAAATGCCATAAACAGCCTAACCTAGTTAAATATAGGTGTCTAGGGTGATTTTATCACGTTACAACAACTAAGGAAACAACAGTTACAAATTTAACGACTTCTCTTAATTTTCTCAGAAATGAGAATGAGAGTTCATTGCCAGTTCTTCTCTTCCGTTCTACGCCCTTGATTTGAGAACTGGAAGTGTTTTTTTTGACGTTCATCAGTGTACAATTGGTGCGTTCCACTAAGCGCTCACGACGATCACGCTCACGACCGCTGATTTCCCCATTCCACTTGATTGTGAATGTTACTGTCGTTAACTCAAGTGGAATGGATTATGGAGCGTTTCGGGCGTTCATGTAAATATTACAAATGTCAAGTTTGAAAATAGTAGAATTTTAAGGAGGTTAGGTAATCATAAACAATAAGTTTTGATATTTGTGACTTAAATTTATTTATGTTAAAAGTGAAGAATATCATCAAACATCAAACAACTTAAGTTTAAATAAAATCGAAATGGCTTTACAATTTCTCTTTCTGAATCAAATAATGTGATTTTTCTTGTCGCCATCTTTAAGCTTTGAATATAATAATATTATTATTTGTCATATTTCAAAAATTCCGCCAAATTATTCTCAACGTTCACAACGACCCACCTCTTTAGATGGGTCGTTGTGAGCGTTGCGTGATTGTCATGACGTCATGAGTGACGTTTTCGCCGTGACCACAACGACCGCGGTCGGTATGTGGAATGGCTAAAGGAGCATTTTGATCGTCGTGAGCGCTTAGTGGAACGCACCAAATGTGTTACCAATATGAATAAATGATTTTGACTTGACTTTTGACTGCTGTAGAACAGATGAGTTTTGAAAAATTTATAAAATATCTACCTTCAATATCTATCATGTATATACTCATATGTTTTAAAATTAATATAGCATATATAGTAAAATCGTTTATTAAGTTATTGGACGGTTTACATATTTGTATCTTTAAGTCAAATATTTACAGACAAAACATATACGAGATTTTAGTAACGAAGTTGTTAAAATTGTTACTTCTCTTATTACCTAAGATTAAGACACTGGTGGGTCATAAGTTATTTATCATATGGCAGTTTTAATACATATGTAGAAATGTTACAAGTTTTGTGCCAACATAATATCTTATTATTGTAAAAAAATATTGAAAAATTACTTCATGCAAAAATCTATAAAATAAACAGTCTTATTAAAGAAAAGTAGTATTTTTCGTTCTTTTGAATAAGATCAGATGAATAGATCTGTAATCATAACAATAGTTTAAATGCAAGCATAATGTTTATTTTAAAATGAGATTCCTGTCTTAAAATATAATACTAAAATAAAGGACGGCGAATCTATACTAAATAAGGGCTTAATGTTAAACTATACTTAGAAATTAAATAATTGACAAATATATTACTATTGTCAATTGCCGGCCACTTGATTTTAATGTAAATTTTATAAAAATGTATATAAATGTAATTGCTAATGCACATCTTACCTACTCTATTTAAGATTTATTTTATTTTGTTTTAATGACCCAATTGATTAAGGCACATATTTGCAAAATCTCCTAACTTGATAATATTTTTAACTCTTAAAGATTCTAAAGGCGGAAACACATTAAAACGCCACGCGACGCAACGTGTCGACACCCGATGTCCATCGTGCACATTACCAAGTACCAACACGCGACATCACGACACGCTTGCAAATTCAGAAGTCATTTAGCTGACAATAGTGAAGGTGTATAGTTATGTGCTAATTGCGCTATGGATTTAATAAATAACGAGTTTGATGAAGATTTGATGCACATTTTGGGTACATATCTGATACTATATATGACCAAAATTATCATAAAATGCTTTCAAACTGTACTTTTCATTCCGCGACTGTTCAGATTCTACTTCTGTATTTTATTCTTCTGATGTCATAATGTGTATGTATGTGACATTCGTGCGAAAAACTCGAACGACTGCGCGCGAGGCGTTGGGTCGAGTCGGGTGGCGTGTGCTCGTATAGAGTCGCGTCGGATATTCAAAGTGTGAACTGTGAATAGAAATGGTCATAGAAAATAGTACAATTTGATTCGACTCAACACGCGTCGCGTTGCTTCGGGTCGCGTGGCGTTTTAAGAATGTGTTTCCACCTTAAACATTGTAAATTAACATGTTACTTTATTCAGGTCCAGTCAGACTGGAGTTTCAAGACTACTCTCATTTACGTCATTAAGCATTGGTTCCATTTCAAGAGTAGGCTTGGTTTCATATCATATTTGTGAAGCCGGCATGGTAGATACTGTTGAGTGTGGAGTTGTGGGTCTTGAACCAGCTAAGGATGCATTAAGAGATGCCATGGTACCCATCTGAAAAAGTGACATAGTAGTAGGTAATATTGAGATTCAAAACTTCATAGTTAATAGTCTACTTGAATTTAGTGTTTTTATTGAATTTGTTTGTGTGCAGATTAAATTTTTAATTTAAATATCTTCTCCAATGATTATATTATATCTTGAACCAAATAAAAGTTTTTAACATACAGAAAGCAGCTTTTGCTACTACTTACTCGTAAATGTGCCAAATCTTCCAACTTTGTCAAGTCAGCTAGTTCCAAATATAAACTATATACAAGTAACCATCCATAGATCCCGCTGACAGTAAACACAATCCAAAAAAGGCACATTAATATATTGTATGCAAATATCATGTCATTTACTATGGAAGCAAATATAAATGCAACTGCACGAAATAATATAAACACTCCAAAAGCATACAACCAAGGGACAATGCGCTTTTCATGTTCCTAAAAAAAATCTAATATTAATAACTACTACTCTAAAACTGCATTAAAACAATCTATTACAATACACATACATTATGTTTTAAGATCTATCCTTATTTTTTTTAAATAACATTTGAGAACTTACTTTTCGTAAAGCACTTATAAGCATAATACTAGTGACCAATACTGCAACAGATCCAATCCAGGAAAATAATGAAAACACAATGAGAACATTGCGAACTGAAACCAATATTTCAAAATTTAAATCCCAGGGAATTTTAAATCATATGATATTATAATAAATATGACAGAAATTAACCCACTTATTCGTGAAAACTAAATCTTTCTTACTGCAACATTTTAACAAAAACTGTTTAACACAATATGACTTAAACAAGAACTTTAATAAAGCAGTGTAATTTAACTGATATTTGAATTTTAATAATAATGTTTTTAGCTTGTTAAAATTTTTTGTAAGCAAAGCTAAAAACTGAAAAGATTATTTCAACTTAAAAGACAGTGAGAGATAATAATTCATGGAATTCTTTTGTGATGATATAAGGATAATTATTGACACATCAAAATGTTACTTACCAGGTGCACTGCCTACATAAACAAATTGATAGCTCATCACATAGTATCCATAATGCACGGAACCAGGTGTTGCCATTCCAAGGCAATACAAGTCAAATATACTCTGGGCGAATGTGAATAAAGCTATAAACTGCAAATAAGATACATGCAATTACTTTTACAGAATTTAAACATTAACATAAGATAAAAGTTTACACATTATTAACATTATATCAAATTAGAAAGTATTTATTACTTAGCCAATAATTTATTTTACATTTACAAAAGCTTTAAGGTATGCTACATTGCTACTGCGTACAGGACCAAACTATGGTATTGACTAAGGACTTATTGTTGTGTTTTTTTCATTTAAGTTTACTTACCACAGCTAGAGATCCTGTTAGTAATGAACCTCTTTGTAAGTCCAAAACAAAAGCATCATGGAGGATTGGCTTTTGATACCATGGTACTCGCAGAGATTTAACGGATTTTGATGAGCGAAGATTTGTTGATGACCTAATATAATTTTATGTTAAATCAGAATAAAAGTACATTTTTTATTATTTTGATCTATCTAAGAATATAATTGAGCTAATATTATACGTGAAAGGCATTAAATCTGCACCAAGAAAATTAATAAGCGTATATACTATGGCTTCTCAAGGGAATAATAAAAGGTTGGGTCTAGTTGGGAGTGTAAGGAATATTTATGATAAATTAACTTACTTTCCTGTATAATGTGAATATACAGAAGGCGTAGATCTATAAGTCGAAGGAGTTTTTTTCCCGTACATTGCTATTATACTTCTTTGAAAATTCCTTGGTTAACGCCCTTGTTTACGCGAAACAACAACAGTCGGCAACTTTAATACACGTAAATTAGTAGCATTTATGCACGCTTAATAATTGGCATAAAACGCAATACAAATTAATATTTAGTTATGATGTTTTAATTTAAAATGAAACAATTTTACTTTATTTTATAAATCCAATTTATGTATAAACTATAAAATGGTTTTATAAAACTTCAAATTCCTTTGGCAGTTGCCCACTCAACTGCCCAGTGCCACAGATAAGCTAAACATAATATAAGGAAGAAAACTATATGGCAATTATTGTGCGTTTTCCAATTACAGAGCATTTTTCGACTCAGTGCCGCACAATGCCGCATAATGCTGAAGCTTAATTGGAACGTGAATTAGTTTTCAAATGCATCAGCAGAGTGCGCTAAGTCAGTGTTGACAAAAAAAATGGTCTGAATAGAGTTAGCAACCTCATTAATGTATAAATAATGTGGTAAACAATAATAATTGGTTGAAAACTTTTTACGCTTAATTTAATAATCAAATTATTTCATTAACATTTTTTTTACTGAAATAAGAAAAAAACTTTAAAGAATATAAGGTTTTAACAAGCTAAATTAACAGTAAAATATTTAGTTTCATATAAGAAGTTTACATCATTTACGTTTTGAGTAATATTTTTTAATGACTTCTAAAAAAATATATACTTTTTCAAAACCATTGCACGTTTTTCTAAAGTATAATCGTGTAAAGTAAATTTGTTTACAGATCCGAATTTTAAAATAAAATTGTATTCATATTTTAAATGTGGAATATAAAAAAAGTAACTATTTATACCTTCATCCATACTAATATTTATTTTTTTAGCAGTTTGAAATAACTTTAATTATTTTCAAAATCTACGACGAAACGAAAGCCTTACAAATTTTTCAACAATAAATAATATTTACTAACGAAAATTTCGATAAAGAAAAATACTGGTCAATTTTCTGTCACTGTGTTGGTATTGTTTGCGAGAACATTCGTTTTGAGAGTGCTCAATTGTGCGAAGCGTTGCTGTAGTTGGAACACTCAACGTTGAGCATTATGCCGCAAAATGCGCTCTAGTGCTGTAATTGGAAAACGCACATTATGATTTAAATATCCTAAAAGTGCGCTTACACGAGGGCAATAATTGCTCGGCGACACGAATGGACCGATCTGGAGCAATTAATGGAGCAATTTCAATAAATTCAATAAATTGCAATAAATTATTTCAGCGATATTGCTTCTAATTGCTCCAGATATTTCATATCGCTCAATGTCGCAGATACGAATTGACGAATATCCAATGGACTTGGAAATCCCTAGCAATTTTTGTATATGTCTCATTCGCACTTGTTTGTTTTGCGGCTTGCCGTCTTGCTTTCGCGGGGAGAGCGAGAGGTCTAAATAATAATAATTTCTAATTACTTTATTCAAAAGTAATTCAAAGTCTGTTCGTGACATTCTAGTAAAGTTTTTGAATAATATATCATCTAATTCTTTACATAATGAAAACTTTGTCCTCTTTGCCAAAAACGATCGCACCCAGATACGCCTATTCCTTTTCTTTCTTTTTTGTTTTTGATTAATGATAAAAAAAGCGCTACAAGCCGCCGCAGCAAGAACAATGTCGTCCATAGCGAGCGAAAACTGAAATGCTCGTGTATGACAGTATTGCCTAGTTGATGAAGTTGCGCCATATCGCTCAATATTGTATTGCGCAGTATTGTTGCTGGTTGCCGTTGCCGTAAATTGCTTGATGTAGTCGTGACGTCATAATTGACGAGTATTGACTGGAATTGAGCAATTTTAGTTGCCCGTGTAAGCGCACCTTTATACTAAGACGATTTATTATAAGCTTTAACGCAGTGGCGTAACTATACCGTCTGGGGCCCGTGGCAAATTCTTTTGATGGGGCCCTATCAGTAAAAATCGTCACGTTGTACTGTTTAATTTTAATAAACTTCGGGATTTTCAGCGTACTCAATTACACGTTGCATATGTCCGACTGGCTCTAGGCCTCCTCTCTTAGGCGAGAGGGAATGGTCTGTAGTCCCCACGCTAGCCCAATGCGTATTGGAGACTTCACATTCATCCATAGATCATAATATCTCTTGGGCAGAGGCCCTCTTGGGTCGGGGGCACGTGGCATTTTTCCAGCCCTGCCACCCTATACTTACTCCACTGAGCTAACGTGTACTTTCTCAAATTAAGACCACACTCAGTAGCTTCAGTAGAGATTGTCATTGTGAAAGTGAAATAAGATACGTGAAATGCTTATGTTCTATCTGCGTATCTATGTGTATCTCATTTGCCATCATTTAGTGATCACTGTTGCAAAAGAAACTTTTTAATACAGTTGCTCAAAAAGTGGCGTATTGCAGGGACGTATAGCGTTCGGGATGTGGGCTATTACACACTCGTGCTTTTTTTTTACCTTTTCCGAACTAGTGCGTTTTCTTTCCCAACTGTCAAAATAATGTCTATTAAAAAGAAAAAACCAACCACGAAGTTTTTACTAAAAAAAATCATAGAAATTTTTATGATTCATGCAAATATTTCTAAAAAGAAGCTACTGCTTTGTTTCAATATAAGACTTAATGATTTGATTCAATGGTAGGGGAGCCCACGATGCTAAATGGGGATTTACTCGAGCGTCGTAGAGACCTATTGGGATGCAAAGCTTAGATAATAAGAAGAAAAAAATGTTATATGATATATACCTTTTCATCGGTGGAGGAAGCGGCTATAGATTGTTAAATATGTAAAAAAATACTGTTGCATGGACATCCTCGAGCGCGTCAGGTATTGATAGCATCAATGCCCTACGTATTTTTAATAATGTACGTATGTTAATCTGATCGTTTGCATGATGCGGGTGGTTGTATTTAAGGGTTGAAAATGAAAAAAAATTAAAAATTATCGAGCGCGTCAGATTTTCTAAGGGAGTGTTAAGTGCACCAAAAAAAAGCTCTCATTCATTAATCTGACGATTTCGATGGGACGCAAACCCACGGCCATTTTCATAATTTGCAAAAAAAATCGCAATTTTGAAATACTCAAGCGCGTCAGATTAAGATATATGTGGTTCATCTTTATGTTCTAAACGTACTGTCTCATAATCTGACGATTATCTAGAGGGATTCGCCTGATCTGACAAAATTTTTTTAGAAAAACGGTTCACCTAAAGGGCCCCATCCCTGCAACTTCCCGCTAATTCCATTCCTGGGCGCTTAAAATTGATATTTTGAGCTCGCTGAGTTCAAAGAAATAACATTTCTATGCATTTGAGCTCTCCCAGCTCGAAAGTCTGATAGAAGTTTTATAGAACACTATTTTTGGAATTTTCAAACCAATTACTTTTGAATGGATCAAGCAATTTTCACGCGGTTGGCGGCATTCGACGCAGTTTTATCATCATCATAAGTAATTTTGCAATTTTAATTGATCGAACCACAAATTTCGGAGTAATCCCTAAAAAACACTTTTTCGGGTTTCTTTCGTTCACGATATCTCTCAAACTAATCAACCGCTTTTGACCAGCCTGGTGGCGATCGACGTGGTTTTTCAAGCTCAAAGGCGGATTAGTTTTTGAAGTTGATCGATAAAGAAACCACTTTAAAAAAAATATTTCTTATTTTTTAAGATTTTTCAAAATTTCTCAAAATCTATCGGTCCGAATCGGTTCAAATTCACAGGAAATGTAATTTTGAGGGAAATATTTAGAACGCAGTTTATTAGATTCCGATCGGTTTAAGGAAATGTAGGCATCACGCAGCTGCACGCATTTAACTTTATCGACGAATTTTTGTTATTTCGGCTTGCGGAAATCGTCAGATTATATATTTTTCATTATTCTTGAATTATTTCCTTCAAAATAAAAAAAAGGGTGCGTGTACTTATGTACGCGCGTAAGAAGTTATACTTCTTTGGCATTATTAAAAATAGTTTTTGATTGCATGCAAATAATTAATTACAATTAAATAATCAAAGACTGGAAAAGGAGTCATTAAAGTCAATAAAGTTCAGTTTACATTTGAAAAATTAAATAAATAAATATTTATTATTATTCTTACATTAAACAAATAAAACACTATTTATCTTTAAAACATTTTTATTTCATTATACTATTTATTTTTATGTGACTCTAATGTCTTCATCAGAATTTCGGTTTGTAATTTTAAATTAATCATTACTTGGTTGTGCATCTACGAGGCTTCTCCAAAACTGCTTTCTGCAACAAATAAGAGAATATTAATTTAAGCTCCTGTCCATGCAAAAGTTAAAATTTTGTATAATTCATATTATAAAATTTTTAACACATTTATATTATTATAGTTATATAAATGTGTTAATAATATAATTTGTAGCACATGCTACAGACCTGAATAGCAACTTTCTTTTATTCTATTTAGAGATAGAGATAATTTAAATATAATATCGGTGTCTTCCTTGTAGGTTTCTTTGGAGTTGTTTGGGGATTCTTGTTGTTCAGTTCGACATGATTTTCTTTAACCTTTCTTTAATCCTACAAAATAATGAAATTGTTAAGTTATGTTGTCACTGTTGTGCACACCTTTGTTTGGCTTTTTTAGTATTAAAGTTATGTCAAAACTGATTTATTACCTTGTCATTGTTGGCTTTATTTGCTTTTGGAATATCAATTGTTTCCAAAATGATTTAATTTGTAATATCCTGAAATATATAAATAACATCTATTAATTTAAGTATCATGGTGAGTGGTTCGCACTCAGGTATTAAGGTGTATTATACCCACTGTCCATTATAAGTGGGAATGGGCTCACTTCTGGCTGGACAGAGTTTCGGTACTACAAGTGCAACATGGATGTTTTGAGGTATTACAATATCTCTAACTACCCTGTAGGGGAATAAAGTACTGTTGTGAGCATATACCTATGCTTGAAAGGTTGAACCTTGAACATCACCATACATCATATTTATAATTA